GAAAGAAGTCAATCACAAAAAAACAACAAATTAGATGATTTCATTTGCATGACATGTTCAGAGTAAGTAAGCCTACAAAGACAAACATAGACCTGCAGACGAAAAGTAGACCAAAAAGTGGTTGCCTGGGGTTGGGGAACTGAGGTGAAATGGGGAGTGACTGCTAATGAATATAGAGTTTCTTTGGGGGAAGATGAAAATATTCTTTCTTTTTTTTTTTTTTAAGGTAAGGTCTCACTCTGTTGCCCAGGCTTGAATGCAGTGACATAGTCACAGCTCACTACTGCCTTGACCTCCTGGGCTCCGGCAATCCTTCTGCCTCAGCCTCTCAAGTACCTAGAATTACAGGTGCACACCACCATGCCAAGCTAATTTTTAAATTTTTTTGTAGAGATGAGGTCTCACTATGTTGCCCAGGCTGGTCTCAAACTCCAAGGACTGATCAAGCAGTCCTCCTCCTACCTTGGCCTCCCAAAGTGCTGGATTTTAGGTGTGAGCCACTGCACCCATCCAGAAGATGAAAATATTCTAACATTGACTGGGGTAATGGTTGCACAATGAATATACTGAAAACCACTGAATTGCATGGTTTAATCAGTGAATTGCACAAAATGCAAGTTATAACTTAATAAAACTATTACTAGTATATATCAATTGAATATTTATGAAATAAATTTATACATATATAAGTTGAATTCAAAAACTGGGATTTTCATGACGTGTAGAAAATAAAAAGATATGAGTCTGGCAAATCAGATATAAATTTTTTCAATGTGCTACAAGACAATAAAAGTAACATTTGCAGTTTTATTTTTCCACTACAGAGAAAAGAAATCATCATAACTATCAGGTTTCTGTATGTTAAGTTCTAAGATGACAGAATTGTATTTTTTTTTTGTTGTTTTTTTGTTTTGTTTTGTTTTGTTTTTGAGTTGGAGTCTCACTCTGTCGCCCAGATTGGAGTGCAGTGGCCGCTCCCGGCCACTGCAGGCTCGACCTGCTGGGCTCCGGTGATCCTTCCGTCTCAGCCTTCCAAGTAGCTGGAACTACAGGCGTGCGCTACCATGCCTGGCTAATTTTTGATTTATTGTAGAAATGAGGTCTCATCAAGTTGCCCAGGCGGGTCTCAAACCCTCAGGCTCAGGTGATCCACTCACCTCAGCCTCCCAAGGCGCGGGATTACAGGCTGAGCCACCGAGCCCAGCAGACAGAATTGTAAAATACAGTAAGTAGCAAATAGTAAGTCTACCAATGTTGCATTCCTCTAGTTTGTCAGACAACGTTGCCTGTTACAATGAAGGTCACAGAGTCATCTTTTGTCTTGTTCCCATACCTTAGAAATTTTGCCTAATAAAGGTTTCTCGTAAGCATACCATGTTGATTTTGCATCTCAGTTTAGTTAAGAAGAAAATGACAGGGTATTTCCTTGGGGCTAAACGTATAGAAATACATAATGTAAAAAAGAAGGAATCTCACGCCTAAGGTACAAGAAATCATCTGAAACAAAAAAAAATGTTTGAACAAGCTACTTTGAAAAGCTATTCAAGTTTTTTTGTAGTGTTACATGTAATTAACAACTACAATTACTAAATGGAAAGAAAGCTGGTCTGAAAACTCTCACTTGATAAGAGGATGACGACTTTAAGAAATCAGCCGGGCTCGGTGGCTCAGCCTGTAATCTCGTGCCTTTGGGAGGCTGAGGTGAGTGGTTGCCTGAGCCCGCGGGTTCGAGACCCGCCTGGGCAGCGAGACCTCATCTCTACAATAAATAAAAAAAAAATCAGCTGGGCGTGGTAGCACATGCCTGTAGTTCCGGCTACTCAGAAGGCTGAGGCGGAAGGATCGCCGGAGCCCAGCAGGTCAAGGCTGTGGTGGCCGGGAGCTGCCACTGCACTCCAGTCTGGGCGACTGAGTGAGACTCCAACTCAAAATAAATAAATAAATAAATAAGAAATCATACTTTTTGAGTGCAGCGGCACAACCACAGCTCACTACTGCCTTGTACTCTTGGGCTCAGGCAATTCTTCTGCCTCAGCCTCCCAAGTAGCTGGGATTACAGGTGCACACTACCATGCTGGGCTAATTTTACCTTTTTTTTTGTAGAGATTAGGTCTCACTATGTTGTCCAGGCTGGTCTCCAACTCCTGGGCTCCAGCAATCCTCTCACCTTGGCCTCCCAAAGTGCTGGATTGCAGGTGTGAGCCACCACAGAAGCAAAGATGCTACTGAAAGATGTACAAAAGTTTATACATCCAGTAAAGGAGGTGAAGCATCAAGGAGACAGACTGCTCAGCCAAATGACAAGCCTGTAACAAAAAACCCACAAAGACAACCAAATCACAGCTAAACTACACAGCCGATGAGAAAGAAAAACCAATAGGATTAGGAAACAGACTAAGGTAGTCCACTTTAAGACTCATCAGCCTACCAGAAGTCAAAGAATTACGCAAGCAGAGTAGAAACTTTACTTGGGAAAGGAATCAGAGACAATTTTCTGGATGCCCAAAAGTCAATTCCTAATGCGACCATCTTAGAGGAACGTGAGAAGTCATTCATAACAACTGTCACTAAAATGTCCCCAGGTATCTATGTATTTTAAGTTTGAAACAGAAGAACAGAAAGATAAGTATTTGTCTAAAGAATGAAGAGGAAGACTATAAAGGTGTAGGTATTGGGATATTTCATACCACCCCTTTTTGTTAATTGAATTGTCTGAGTTTTAGTCATTTGAATGAATTAATTCATAGATAGAAAGTCCGAGACAAAATATGTACCAGATTCCTCTGGAAAAGTAAATGTATGCCTTGGAAGTGAAAGGAAGATGCTGGCAAATAGCTGAATCAAGGTATCAACTTTGCCAAGGGTTTCACCAAAGAATTTTTTTTGACTACCGGCAGGGGGAAAAATGCAATCTAATACCCTTGGCAGCTACAATGTTATAAGCTGGGAGGGTAGTGAGTCAGATATCAAAGGCACCTGCTCTAAAAACCAGGAATATTTGAACAGGCATTTGTTTACTTATGACATAAGATATGAATGAAATAACTGATTGGTAAGTTGACAGCAGCGTGTTGTTCTCTTTCATCTGCCTTTTTTAACTGCATGTCTTGGCTTTCGGAGACCAGTAAGCTCAGGGACAACAGGCTGTATCTAACTATAAAGATAAGAATGAATGCTCAGATGCAGGAGACAGAAGTCCTGGAGCAACCAACCCAAAACTAAAAGAAGTGAAGCCATTATGCAAGAATATGGGCTGGCAATGGTTTTTTTGTTTTTGTTTTGTTTTGTTTTTTTCCTTAAAGGCCATGGTAGCTATTTAAGGGGCGACAGAACATCAAACGATTTATTAGTGAGCTATCACAGCTAAAAATACCTTGACAAGGAGCCCTGGAGATGCTGAAAACTAGGGAGAGAGATCTAAAAAGGGTGAGAAGATTGCACCAGCAACAAAAAGCTGGGTTAGAGATGTTGATATAGTTTTGCTATCTGTCACATTCAAATCTCATGTTGAAATGTGATCTTCAATGCTGGCGATGGGGCCTGGTGGGAGATGCTTGGGTCATGGGGGTGGAGCCCTCATGATGGGCTTGGTGCCATCCTATCTCTTGCTTCCTTTCTTGCCATGCAATAAGCTGGCTCCCCTTGCCGTCTACCATGAGGGCTTCTTCCTGAGGCCTTCCTCCTGAGGCCTCACCATGCGCAGATGCTGATGCCAGGTTTCTTGTATAGTCGGCAGACTGTGAGTCAAAGAAAGTTTTTTTCTTTACAATTACCCCATCTCAGGTATTCCTTTATAGTAATGCAAACATACTGGTACAGATGTCAAGCTGAATTAAAGAATTTATTAAACAACAATTTGAGAAATATAAGATATAAGCAAAAATGTATAAGGGCTCTACACTAACTTCTAGTGTAAACTAACACTAGAACTTAGATACCACATTATTTCTGAAAGCATAGTAAAGATTTGCTTAATACAAATATATGTTGGAAGTAATGAAAACAATGTGACAGTTTATTTTTTATAAGAATGTGGTAGTCAAATTGGAAGGTATCCTTTTTGAATGGGAAATAAAGAGTAAAGAAAAAGAAGACTAGAAATAAAGAAAAGCATAAAAAGAAAGGGGTAGAAATGTATTAATTCCACCACAAAAGCTAAGTGAGTGATATAAAACAAAGATCACTGCCTAGCATAGAAACAAAATTTAACAATCTGTTGACTGTAAGAGATACAGGTAAAATGAAATATAAATCATGGTTTAATTTAAAATTTATTATATCTTTACAAAGACAAAAAAAGATGAAGATTGCTACCATGGAAATGATTCTAGATAACATTAAAGGGTATGTAAAATATAAAAATTTAAGAACTGCATCTTAATTTTTAAAACATATTCTAGGGAAGATTTATTAAATTTGTCAAAAATAATTATCTCTGAAAGCTTTGACTGTAAATCACAGTAGATTAAATAGATAAGGAACTTATCTAAAAACCTGCTCAATAAATCAGATCCATTGATCATCATCACTTCTTGACCCAATAATACCTCCAGAACTCTTAAGGACAAATGGTAAAACATAATTACCTGTATCTTAGCAAAAAGTATTGTTCATTTCTGTTTGTGGCTTTCAACCATCCCACTAATTTTAATCTTACAAATGGTTATGATGTCCATTTAATCTCTATACATCTCCCTGCACATTGCTCTATAACATTTGCCATATGGACCACTCAATAGATATTTATTATCAATAAATGTCCAATAAAATACTTGCTGAATAAAAAACATATACCAATGAGAACAATAGCAACAATACTGCCCATACAGGCCCATTTGTTGAAAGAATTCCAAATGCATAAATTGTAGTTTTTTTCCTCCCATATGCTGGATAGAACATGATCTTTTTTCCTCAAAATGCAAAGTCAATCTATAATGTAAGATTATTTTAAACTATCTAATAAATAACAAGTAAAATTTTTAAAATTTACTTTTACTGACCTTGTAAGAATGTAAGGCGAAAATGAGGCTGGATTATCCTGCTCTGAAAAGAGGGGCATAGATCCTCCCATTATCCACAGACGAAAGTACAAAATGACAATCACCTTCAGAGAACAAAAAGATCTGGTAAGACGGCCACCAATAGTCTCTGCTCTTTCTGTGTAGGCATTCTGTTTCTTCTAGCAAGAAATGGAGTCAGTTGTTCCTTTCTTTAAATCTGAGTTAGTTTTGTGACTTATATCAACAGAATGTGACATTAGGTACATTGTGTCATTCCACATCTAACCTTTAAGAGGTTCTGCAACTTTTGGTTCATTCTTTTAGAATCCAGCTTTAAGGAAGTCTTTTCTAGAAAGAAAAGCAACAGGGAGGGGCCCTAGGGGATAAGAGAAACCACATGGAAGAGAACCAACATGACTTGGCTCAGACAATAGCTGAATAAACTTGACTGAGTAATCCCAGTCAAAAAAGATGATTAGAAGAATCATTCAGTTGACTGCCGCCCAACTAAAACATTTACGGCAAATACATAGCTGTATTTAAACACCGAAATTTTGAGGCAGTTTGTAATGCATCAATAGATAACTGATACAGCCAGGTTTATGTTGCCTTCTCTTCAGACAACTCAACTTCAACACCTTGAAAAGGACTTGTAGAATACTGTGGTACACACTGTCCATGTTGTCAAGTTCACATATACCCAGAATGCTTTCATATATACCTTTCAATGCTTTGCAACACTGATGGCATGGAAACTCTTTGATACTAAGACCATAATGTTAGACGCCACTGCAGAGTCTATTAAGTAATCTGGATCATGTCTCTGAGCTGAGTTAAAAAGTGAAAACATTCCTTGTCAAATATTTCAAAAGTACATATATATATACTTACATAACTTATGACCAATACGGCTCTTTTAAAAAATGGTCTCATGGTAAGCAGGAAATTTCTATTGCTGCTTGCTGTCAAATACCTGAAACAGGAAAGAAAAAAAAAATCTTAAAAAACTGTAAGAGTCTACCAGACACAATATTCTCCTTTCAACCTGAAAATGCTGCAGCTCTGAAGAAGGCTGCAGAAGACCAAGGTGGGAGACCTTGGGCAAGTTTCTGAAACCCTTTGCACATTTATTCACTCCCTTACAGGAAATTTGGGAGGAATAAATGAGATAACATATGGAACAGGACCTAGCACTATTAGCTATAAATACTACTATACCATCTAATTTCAAATAATACAGTCATTCTGACAACTATATGGCTACACTGTCCACAAGAATGATCTTCAACAAAATAAGAGTTTATTTACCTACTTATTATAATTTGAGTGGTACAATATCTTCCACTCACAAAACACCTCACAAAAATGAAGATGCCAAGGTTGTGTGTGGTTAAGTAATTTTTCCAAGGTAACAAAGTCAGTGAGCATCCGTGGCAGAACTAGAGCTCACCCACACACTATGAAATTTTCTTATCTGCCTATAGTCCTTGGAATCAAGTGAGGTTCCATAAACGTCAGCTTCTAGAGGAGCAGGAACTTGTATGAATCCTGCATCTGCTGCAGCTCATCCACTTGTACATGGGAGTTTGGGGTATGCACATATAAGACATGTGACTGGCTTTAATAAAGATCATGAAAGAGAAGCAGGAGAAGCTATTAACAAGCTCTGGCTGAAAACATAAAGTAAGTCATAAGTCATTTTCACCCACATGCAAAATTCTACGCTGAAAATACAGAGCAGAGAAAAAAGTCAAATGAGATCACATACGCCAGCAAGTATCTCCCAACTCATCCTTATTTCTCCTACCCCTTTTCTTTTCTTTTTCTTTTTTTTTTTTTTTTGGTTTTGTTTTACTCTTTTTAATCCAGTTTTTCTCAAAGGGTTTTCTCTCAGTAATTCTTAAAACTTGCATGAGGTCTCTTTGCACAGGGAATGTTTGATATGAAGAGAAATATCTTTTTGTAAGATCTGAGTGGGCTAGTATCTCACAAAGAAACATCCACCTTGAGGATTGCTTACAGCATGTATGTGGCTCCTCCATTTAGAGCTCACCCCCTCACAATGAATACTTTTCTTCATTGTGTTGTAACAAATGGCACTGGAAGGAGGTGCGAGTCCCACTCTTCCATTTCACTTCCAATTTCTCCTTTATGGCTCATGAGGAGCTGTAGAAGTGATATGGATAGACACACAGATCTGGCATTCAAGTGTAATGAGTGCAGAAAATGAGGATCCCAAAGAACACAAAGGAGAGTTGGCAGTTAGCTAGCTCTGTACTAGATCTCCCCATAAGTGCTGTATTTGCAACCCTTTCTTCTTCCTTAGCTCCCAGCAGAGAGCTTGGCAAGGAAGAAAGTCAGGGATACTGTCCTCTCTCACAACACAGGTGTATAACTACTGTCCTCCACTGCTTCCTGAAACTGTATACAAGATTTGCATCTGTATATTTCTCTGAGGCAAAGTCCTTGGTTTCGATCTTCAATATCAACTGGGTCTGTAGTCCCCAAAATGTAAAGCACTGCTAAGTGTCCTCCCCTCGGCTCTGAAATTACCATGCCTATCATTTTCAAGCCAACTCAACCAAGACCATATCCGGATATTTCTGCCATTCCCTTATGGGATGTAAGATAAATGGCAACAGGAAGGCAAAGAGAATGACAGCATGGAGATGGAAAAGCTGCTGGGAGGACTGGAGATGCAACACATCTGAAAGAAAAAGCACTTCCCGGAGTGGTCTGCTTTGGGAAGCTTCATTTCTCAAGTTCCCTCTGTTGCTTGTTTATTTTAACATAGTGGAAAAATTAGAAGTGGTTTTTCCTTTCTATAGAACAGCAAACCACAGAGTTTAGAAATTCTTGGTTATTTCAGTGAGTTATATTTATAAAGTGTCCCCTAGCTTAGAAATTCTTGGAGAAATTCCATTTCCTCAAGAAGTTAAGCTAACAGCACCAAATAACTTACTCTTAAAATGTAGCATTTCAAAGCAATGAAAACCTAGAATGGTACAGAGAGGAGTGGTTGAAAAAAATGACCTCTTTTCAAGATTTCTATTTCTAGTTGTTGACTTAGTAAATTAGAACAGAAGCCAAAATGACATGGCCCCTTTTTGGGTAAACACTGGGTCAGCGCTGAGATTCCTAAATTCAGACAGAGAGCTAAACTCTAAGGGCTAAATTCTCTGCATCCTTTCCTCCTCCCCAACCCTCAACAAAAACGGAGAGTGAAATTTTCCCCACTAGTCCATTACGTTTGGTTTGTGAAGTAGAACCAAACAACCCCACCAATAATAACATTATTATTAACCCCAATAAAAGTAGCAAACAATTGATATGTCCCAATATTAACCTAAGTGATTTAAATGGAGAGGTTTACAACAATTTCATGAAGAAGAACATTACAATTTTTTTATTCTAGAGGAGGAACCCTAAAAATTGGAAACAATATTTAGCTATTATATCAGATATTCTCAGTTATTCATTTCAATCATAAGATAAAGTACCTGAAGGTGCCTTACAAACACAATGCACTATGTAAGCGTGATCAATAAGACTTCTCTGTCAAGTTCTCCATTCTTTTCCTTATAAAGCAAGTGAACGTGCCAACAACAAAATCAAGCCACTGGGAAAACCCAGAGAATGAACCGAGGGTCCAGAGTTCTGTTTTTGTGCTTCCATCTAATTTGTCACATGACTTGGAATAAGTCTAAAAGAGTTTCATTTTCTTCTTTTATTAATGAGAGTTGGACTAAATGGTTTCAGAGTCCATTTCAGATCTAAAATATTGTGATCCTTGGATGTTCTCACCAGCTGATGACTTAAAAAATGACTGAAGAGGCTGGGTATGGTGGCTCAAGTCTATAATACCAGAACTTTGGGAGGTCAGGTATTCCAGGCTACAGTGAGCTATGGCTGTGCCACTGCATTCCAGCCTGCACAACAGAGCAAGACCGTGACTCCAAAAAAGAAAAAAAAATGTAATGACTAAAGAAAAACGAGAAACCAACCAAATTTTTTTTTTTTTTTGAGTTGAGTCTCACTCTGTCGCCCAGACTGGAGTGCAGTGGCTGCTCCCGGTCACTGCAGCCTCGACCTGCTGGGCTCCGGCGATCCTTCCACCTCAGCCTTCTGAGTAGCCGGAATTACAGGTATGCACTACCACGCCCGGCTGATTTTTTTATTTATTGTAGAGATGAGGTCTCGCTGCCCAGGCGAGTCTCGAACCCGCGGGCTCAGTCAATCCACTCACCTCAGCCTCCCAAAGGCGCAGGATTACAGGCTGAGCCACCGAGCCCGGCTCAACCAAATTTTTAAAAGGAACATAAAGGGGTTAGAGAAGAAACAAATATTAGTTAATCCTCTATTTTGAGTAGACTGTCTATAATTTACAGTTGCATATGAAAAAATAGTTTAATATTAGTTGGTGTTATTGGCATTATATGTGCATTATAAACTGTGCATTTTTAACAACTTTTAATTTTTGCCAAAAAAAAAGATCAAGGTTAACTACAGTGAATTCCCAAATAAAAGAAAAAATCAAGGTTAACCACAGTAAATTCCCTAATTTATGCCCCCACACACCCCAAATTTTCTGACTATGAACATCTACTATATCAGTTGATCATGTTCAAATGTTCAATTAAAGCCGGGTTCGGTGGCTCAGCCTGTAATCCCGTGCCTTTGGGAGGCTG